TTTTAGATCTGGAGAAGACATGGCGCTCCTTTTCAGTGATGGGCTATGTATGGTTGCGCCAGCCCACGATGAGAGCCATCTCTATCACAGCCCATAATTCGTGGGCTCTTCAGAGCACTCATCGCTCCTTGATCTCGAGTTGGTCCCGGCAAGTACTCTGAAACCTTAGACTTGCTGCAGCGAGGTTAGAAATCATTATCAGTCCCGTGGGCAATCGTCACCTGGTGTCATCAACTGGTTGGACTCATTCCGCGCGGCTCCGCCCGACAAGGTGGCATGTAATGACGCTACCACTGCATCTCATCAGGACTGTACACGCGCAAACCTCGAAAGTGCACTCACGACTCACTTGGCTTGGCTCTCTACGACAATTGCAAGACAGGTCCTGACACTCCCGGAAACGTCGTCACGGATAACGTTTGACGTTCAGCCATGTCGAGCGCTGCAGTCACGCCTTCCATGCGGGCGGTCGGATGGAATGTACATTTCACTGCAGGACACGAAGACGACCCAGGTGCTTTCGCTGGGATTTATCAAGTCCCAGGGAGCGATTTGGTGACCTTTCGCCAAGTTTGCGACGAGCTGCGCCTCTGCTTCAAGTTACCGAACGATCCACGCAACGAGAGTCACGAAGTCGATCTCGACCCATGGTCCAACGTTGCTTTCGCTCTTGTCGACCAAACGGATTGGTCAAGGTCGTCAATGCCCTTGCAGTCATTTGTGACGCAGTACGACCTGGATCAATCCGTACCGAGTCTTTCGCCATTGCGCCCGAAGGAACAGAATGTCCTGAGATACCATCTTGTCTACCACAGGAGCTGCAATCTGCCTTCCAGTTCCTCACTAGAAACTCATCTACAAGGTAGCTTGGCATAATTACTTGCCCTGGTCCTTCTCTCGAACTTTGATGAACCGATTCCTAGCGAGATGTGCTCGACAACTCCCTGACCCTATTCGCCTTCGCGATCCTCGATACTTGCCGTTGAACAAACGGCCTTCTGATCCAAGACTCACAGTGATGCCGTTACGACGATTCCTCACAGCCCGCTCTCAATCCCCTTCCAAACGATCCGTTTCTGGCTCTAACTCGCCGAGTCGTGATGACTTAGCGGACGCTAATGATGATCTTCACGATATGCTTGTTCCTGCTAGCATGAAGATAGACTTTGAGGCGGCGAAAAAGGTCATGAGTGAATTCAAGGCCTCGTGTCTCAATAGAGGAACTTCTTGTGCCGTCTCCGGCAAAGGAGAGACCTGGTGTCCAGGCCAGTCTATAGGCCCCGGTGTCCAGGCCTGCCATATTGTCCCTCAGCAGCATTACCACCTTTATCCAAGGCAATATGCTGATGACAATAGCTTTGGAGAAGATGTTTCGTATCGACTTCAACAAGCCTGGCAGCGTACTTGGAGTTCCAGGAATGGCATACTGATGATGAAGCATCTTCACGAGTTTTTCGACGCACGACTCTTCTCTATCCACCCAGATACGCTTCGTGTTCGAGTGTATGTGCCTTATGACGACCTGATGGAGTTCAACGGTCGGACAGCATCGGTGCCGGCGTCCATTGATCGCAAGGCCCTCCGGCATCATTGCGAGATGTGCTGCATTGAGAATATGGCAGCTGAGAGACCGATTTCACATGTTGCATCACCGAGCACAAGCAGATTGGGCACATCAGGGACGGGCACGCCGCTCCGTGCGAGAACAGAGCTACCCGCGACGCCAGGCTCCAGAACCGCGCCTTCGGAGACCATCGGTGGCAAGACAGGCGACCCATCTAAGAGACCGCGATCGACCTATCCTGACAGAAGTCTGCCAAGAGACGCTCTTGAATGGGGCGCATTTGCTGACCAAGCGGAAGCCGCCGAGAGAGGGCGGAAACGTAGGCGACCGGAAGACTGCTTGGTCGATGAGGCCTGCTCACAGAGTGATTGGATCGTTCCGGAGGGACGTCATATTGAAACTATGCCAATCGATGATGCCAATCTATAGAGGAGGCTCAATAGTCAGATTTAAGTATAAGACAGTGAAATCACCTCCGAACCATGAGGGTGGCTGAATCGGGCTAAGGAAGTACTAGCACGCAGCGCGGGCTGACCTTCAGACGTTTGGTTTTACAGCATGTGTATGACACAACAGCATGACACAACATCCCTGATAGATAAAGAACTTCAAACTCCGAGGCTCGCGATTGATCTGTGGATTGTTTAAGAGCATTCTTTTTGACTACTTCTTAACTAGTTGCTTGGAACAATTACGCCCCTCAAGAGATTGATGTGCTTCCAATCAGAAGACGTGCTCATGTTGAGAGGGCTTCATTGCTTATGTAAACCCCAATTCAGTACTTTAGCTATGCTTGCGAGCTCTGAATAGGTAGGGTAAGTGATATAAGACTTATAATATAATCAATACTATCTCCCTAAACTACTACTACCTACGTAAGTCAGATATACCTATCTAATTTACCGATTACGTAAGCCGTGATTCACGTGCTCCTAAGAGCTATGAATCCTAGCTACGGTAATCCCCCGGTAATCACTATATCGGTGATTACCGCTCTAGGGAATCCCCTAACATTAGTTCAATACTAGCTCTCTTTTCTTTATAGATAGAATAGCCGTAAGAATTAATACTAGGAGCTGTTACTAGGGTTAATTGCCGCTCTAACGCGCCTATAATCTCTAGTCTCTAGCACGTTAGATCGGCTCAGCTCTGTAATGAACTTCCCTGACCCGTAGCTCTTGTATAAACCTTGCTCTGGCATTGCTGGAAACGGCAATTGCATGCATGCATTTGGCAGCGAACCTATCACGTGCGGTGACCAGCTGAAAAGCGCCATGGACCCCACCACACCATACTTCCCTTGGAAAGGCACAGGGGCCGACGGCTGGATAGCGCCTGGCAAGCTCTCGGGTGGGGTGGGAATCGCGCCTTTCAGGTCAACCTCCATCGCCCCAGACACCATCATCGAAGTATCTCACAACCCCAACTGTCAGGCCAGCTCATTCTCGACATCATGCCTCGAGCCAGCTCTCCATTGAGCGGCCTACCATACACAGTTTATCTGAAGCACGAGAATGGCTGACCATACCCCTCCCAACGACACCTTCCCCCATCCTCAAGGCCCAGGATCACCAACCCACGTTGATCCAGGCCTGCTCACCTTCGTCACACATGCCGATCCCATCATCAGCTTCGACAATGACCTCCAGACGCAGCAAGCTGTACATGATCCAGATGGGGTGTCGGCTGCCGGGGCCGGCGAAGGAGCAACTTTCGGTGCCACTCCTGCGGCCACGATAGACGCCAATCCCTTGGGTGACCGTCCAACAAAGGTTTTCAATCGCTTTACAGCCAGCTCCGTCAGAGTACTCAGAAATTGGATCGCCGCCCATGAGGAATACCCCTACGCCTCACCGAAGGACCTCGAAATGCTCCAGGACAAAACCGGTCTCACCAAGCTGCAGGTGACCAACTGGCTCGCCAACACCCGGCGACGTTCCAAACTCCGACCCTCTCAATCTTCTTCACCCGTCGTCTCGTCCGAAACGACACACAGGGAAGGAGTGCCAATCGAGATTCCCTCGCGACGACCAACGCCGGTGCCTTTCGAACAGATGAACATTCTGCAGCGATGGGAAAGCTCGCCACCGGAACACGAAGCGGCAGACATGTCGGATATCTCCCGCGCCATCGCCGCTGCTTCCCAGTCGCCTCGCATGCCGTACTACTCACACGCGTCCGATCAATCTTCGGACAACGCGTCGTCAATCAGCAGTGCTGGCCGATCTCGTTCCAGCAGAGGATCGGGCTCTCGAGCGTCATCTCGAAATTCCGCCATCTCCTCTACAGCAAGGGTCAACCGTCGGCGTAGGCGAGCACCTGCGCGACGCCAACGAAACAGCAGGCCAAGTCTGATCCGTGCATGTCACATGTATCAGTGCACTTTCTGCATCGAAACCTTCAAGCTCAAGTACGACTGGCAGCGCCACGAGAAGTCGCTTCACCTGTCACTCGAGGAATGGATCTGCTCACCAACTGGAGCCACCGCTGTCCACCCAGACACGAGCATCGAACTTTGCGTATACTGCGGAGCAGCCGACCCGGACGCGGCGCACGTCAATCAGCACAACCACGCCGCTTGCCTCGATAGATCGCTCCCAGACCGGACCTACTACCGCAAAGACCACCTGCAGCAGCACCTCAAGCTGGTGCATGGCTGCAAGTTCATGAAGTGGCCGATGGACCAATGGAAAGTCTCAGGCCGAGAAATACGGTCGCGATGCGGGTTTTGCGATGCCACCCTGACATCCTGGGATGCCCGTGTTGATCACCTTGCAGCACACTTCAAGAGTGGAAACACCATGGACGACTGGAAGGGGACTTGGGGGTTTGATCCACAGGTCGTCGAAACGGTCGAAAACGCAATGCCGCCATGTGAGTAGCCCCCTCTGAGAAGCCCTGGTCCCTTGCTTACCCGCCAGACCTTATCCACTACGAGCAGAAGTCGCCGCTCCCCATATCGTCCATGACAGGACCTCCCGATACACCAACCAGCGCGTACGAGCTCGTTAAGCTGGAACTGGAGCACTACATGCGCAACTACCTCGACACTAACGGCAGCTTTCCCTCAGACCAAGAGCTCCAATTTGAAGGTTGCTCCATCATCTTTGGTGCTGAAGTCTTGTCCCCCTTTTCGCTGCCATCATCGGCGTCGTGGTTGCGGGACGTCTTCATGGCTTCCGAAACGTCCAATGCGGCTCGACTTCTTCCCATGCAACAAGTCGCCAAGTCACGATTGACAAAGCTCACGATCAACGGCAAGAGTAACATCTTTGACAATTGCGAACTTGAGCTTGAGATGCATCAGCGTATCGTCATGCATGGAGCTCTCGGCCTCGTCTTGTCCGACTACACGCTGCAACAAGAGGCATCTGAGATTCTCGAAAGCGTCGAGACTTGCTCGCCCAATCCCTCCAAGCTGTTCAAAGACTTCCTGATGCGACTCGTCTGGGGATCGAGCAAGTGGCTGGAGCCTCTTCGCCAGCGGGACCGGCAGCTCTCCACAGATGAGCCGCGAGGCATTCTTGCATTTGCACACCAAAGAGACACCGGCCACACTCCTCTGGACCAAAAGCCCCCAGAAGTCTGGCCTGAGGTTTGGCCTCAGAAGGGCGCCGAACCCTTGTCGAGTTCATTCTTGACGAGCACGCTGCTGAGCTCCGGCCAATCTTTGCGCGGCGGTGACGGCATGCCCTTCCTTTTGAACGACCATAACAGCTATAGCAGGCTGACGGCAGGCTTGACGCGGTTTGTGGTGAGTGCCATGTCGCCGAACAACCCAAAGAGGCATGTGCCTACGGACGAAGAGATTCAGTACGAAGCCCGTTGGCTGTGGTACGACAGGTGAGTCTGACGTCGTTCTCGTGGGAGCACATCTTGGCAACAGTACGCTGACTGTATCAAGTGATGACCCGTGGGACCAAACCCCTGCTGATAACACCGAGTGGCTTCGCGAGTTTAAACGCGGCGTTGGGCTGCTACAACAGGATAGTGTCGAAGCATTATAAGCCGACAGCAAGCATCGTACAATTCAGATGCAACATGACCACCGCTAACAGTTGACGATCGAAGAGGTGTCTCTTCCATATGGCTGACACCTTGTACACCAGAAACATGACACGAATTCGCCGTCATGCTGATGCATTCAACGTGGAAAGGGAGCATCGGGATTCCCGGGACTTAGCATCTTTCAACCTCGCTGTATAACAATTCTTAGCGTGGGCCGCGAGTGCCTCGACATTGTCTCCAAGGTTATGCGACACTATCATTTACTAGAGCGACTTTGAGTAGTAACATCAGTGATGTGGCTTCACGAGCGACAAATTTATACTAGCAGAAGAGTACGATGCTCCCTGGACCTGCGTCACTCAGCCCCTCGGTACAGTGACCATGCCCTACACAGCCAGGTAGTCCCAAACTGCTCACGAAGTGTGCCGAGGCAGTCAAGTGTAATTCAAGAGTGGAGAGATCAACAACAGCTCTGCTTCCGCTGCAATGCAAACAAGGGTCAATTCATCGGCGAGTGCTCATCAAGAAACGCAGTTGTCCGAGTGGTGCGGTATCCTCAAAGTCTGTGACCAGGAGCTTATCCAACAGGCAGAGTGGGGGCGTCTGAACCGCATCGTGGAAACCTGCAAGGTGCCCGCTGGCAACTATCAATGCGTCGCATGGCACCAATCGTCGGAGGCTTGTCTGGTAATTGATAGGCTCTGTTGGTGCTGGGGGCAGGCCGTTCGCAGTGGTTGGCCCGGCCTGCGCAAGACTGCTGCACCTACGTGGGATTAGCCTACGTGGTATCACAGGCCCGGCGCAACCAGAAACAGGGGCTTGAGGGGCTAACGAAAGGCACACACCCACAGTTGATTGACGAAGATGGCATGGTGGCTGGCATCATAGCTACATGGTACCTTGCTGGAGGTAGACAAGCACCATGAAAGACATCAAGGTCATGCTTGGTCGGCATCAGCTGCCAGTTGACTGCTCGTGATAGCCCCATGGTGTTGAGGTTGCCCGGCCAGGTAGCCTCAGCATGATCCGCCTTCACTACATGACGAATAGATGAGAGCAACATTTGATTGCTTGCCAGGGTGCTTCAAGGTATGAACAACATCAACGCAATTATTCTTGGCTCCCGACATTGTCAACCTTCTGTGCGTGTCTTCCCCGCACCTAACCTCCCTCCCGCTGGCTGCCGAGTCATTCAACAACCTTCTCGCCCGGTCATATTCCAGTTGCTGGCCAGTCACTGGCATGATTAGCTTGCGGGGAAGGCGAGGATGGCAGCCATCGGATAACGCCCAGGTCACGACCCTGCTCGGCTTGATCTCGATGCTCTGGAGTAAGGACGATAGCCGAGCCGCTGGAAGATGGCCGAGAACGGGGTGGGTTGGAGATCTTACCGAGGTGTAGTATGTTCGTTCGCCGGGTAGACGAGGTGCAGTGGTCACCATTCAATGCTCCCCAGTGTCTTCCTCGCCCAGCATGTTAGTGCTGCAACATTTGACGGTTGGTCATCTTTGTATCACGCACTGTGCCGGTCGAAGAGAGATAAATGGGTGCTCGAGCGCCTGTTGCCTACTAGAGTACCGATCATACATAGTACATGTAACGGCAGAGCCCTCAATGCAACCTTGCCATCGCAGCCAGCTACTGTCTCATTGACTACTGTCTCATTGACTATTGTCTCATCGACACGCGAGCGAACGGGCAACTCGAAGGAGCACAGGCCGCAGCGGGGTAGCGTCCGACTCAGCCCTGTGCTATCTTTATCTTATCAATCGGCGAAAATGACGCAGCGGCCGATTCGGGGTCCTCCAGCGCTCGAGGCCCCTAATTCTGGAATCTTCCAGCGGCGGACATCTCCACCGCTTACCGCTTAGAAATGCTCCGGCGGGTCGGCGCGCCTAGCGTACAAGTTACTGCTTGCGCGATCGCAACGCCGTGGCCTCTGAAGTGAAAGGTCCCGGTGGTTGACGTGCTTCACCGAACGGCCGTCTGAAAAGGGGGTTCCGCTTGACGCATGCATTATCTGGCAAGGAGCTCTCGTTCCTCCTTCGACGCCTTCCTCGCCCCGACTGCTTGTCAGACTGGCGACATTCGCCCTCTGCAGCCTCGCCGCACCTCGAACCACATCGATCACCTGTCCGTCTGCACGATTTACATATATCCGAAGGGGCCGACAATCGTCTGGGGCCCACCGACTTGTCTCTGTCTCGAAAAAAAAAGAACAATTTTCAAAGTCAATCTGCAACGAGCAACACATTTAACCATGGCGGAAGCAAGGGCGGCGCAGCTTAAGGAGGAGGGCAACCGCCACTTCCAAAAGGGCGACTACATCAATGCCGAGGGATGCTACTCCAAGGGGTTCGTCATGGCATCTCGCTCCGACCGCAGGCCGCGCAGCTGACAAGCCAGGATCATCGCCGACCCCAAGAACCAGAACCTCTACACGAACCGCGCCATGGCCCGCCTCAAGCTCAACTACTGGGATGCCGTCGTCGCCGACTGCCGAGACGCCCTCGCCCTCAACGCCGCCAACATGAAGGCCTCGTACTACCTGGCCCAGGCCCTCGTGTCGCTGCAGGACTTTGACGGCGCCATCACCGCCGCCATGCGCGCGCACGGCCTCTGCATCGAGACGGGCGACAGGTCGCTCGCGGCCGTCACGGCGCTGGTGCTGCGCTGCAAGAAGGAGAGGTGGGAGCACAACGAGAAGAGGCGCAAGAGGGAGGACCAGTATCTCGAGGTCGACGTCGTCGAGACGATGGAGCGCGAGAAAGAGAGGGCACTTGCCGCGACGGAGAGCGAGGGCGAGAGGGGTGACGTGGCGGCCGAGTGGGACGCCAAGATTACTGACATCCGGAGGGTTTTCGAGACGGCGAGGGCCAAGGGCGAGCAGAGGCGCGAGGTCCCCGACTGGCTGATTGACGACATTACCTTTAACGTTTTCGTTGATCCATGGGTTGTCAGTGCTGCCCCTGACGCTCCCTCTTTTTTTCTTCCTCTTCTTCCTCGTCTTCTCGTTCTGACTAACCGCGCCTGCAGACCAAGACGGGCAAATCCTACGAGAGAGCATCCATCATGGAGCACCTGCGCCGCCATCCGAGTGACCCCCTCACGAGGGAGCCGCTTCAGCTCGCCGAGCTGCGCCCGAACCTGGCACTGAGACAGGCGGCCGAGGAATTCCTGAACGAGAACGGCTGGGCCGCTGATTGGTGAGCGGTGCATGAGTCGAGGCTTGAAGTACATGGGGCGTGAATGCCATCTTTTTTTTTTTTCTCCTTCCAGCGATTCCTTGGCATATCTAGTCTGTTCAGCATAGCATGGCATGGCGTTTGGGCCTCGACAGAACTTCAACGAGGCAGTACAAACATGGTGAAGGAAAGATGCTCCTCTTTGCGTCGATGGTGTCAACCTCGTCACAGTGCAAAAACTGGTCGATATTACTTCGCACGGTAGACGATAAATTGTCGCTTTGCCCACCCCCTCATCAGGGCGAAGCTCGACTGTTTACTCCAACCACACGCGCATTGGCTCCAAAGAGGCTTGCTTTGTATACTCCTCGCGCAAACTAATCGTCAACGGTCGCCGCCGACTCTGGACGAAACGCCGCGGGTTCTGTCTGGGAAGAAGCTCCATGCGGCTCATCAACGTCAGGACCAAAGAGATCACGCTGTTCTACGGAGATGATACGCCGCCGTACGCCATCCTCTCCCACACTTGGGCAGGCGACAATGAGGTCTCCCACCAGGAGTGGACAGCCCCCCTGAGACCGACGTTCAAGCCGGGATACCGCAAGATCATGGCCGCCTGTTTGCAAGCCGAACAAGACGGGCTCGACTACCTGTGGGTGGACACAAACTGCATCGACAAGACCAGCAGCGCCGAGCTGTCGGAAGCCATCAACTCCATGTTCGCGTGGTACGAGGCATCCGCCGTCTGCTACGCCTATCTCTCGGACGTTGACGGCAATGATCCCTTCGGCGTGGCGCCCCTGCCCCCGGTCGAGGGACTTTCTCTCTCCACAGAGCTCAAACGGAGGGGACCGACTTTGGAGCTGCGCGCCAGCCGCTGGTTCACCCGCGGTTGGACCCTGCAGGAACTGCTCGCACCCCCGAAGCTCACCTTCTTCAATCGCCACTGGAAGGACATTGGCACGCGCCAGGAGCTGCGCTTCCCCATCTCGACCATCACGGGCATCGACGTCACCTACCTCGGGCAGAGCCAGAAGATCTTCTCCGCCAGCGTCGCCGCGCGCCTCAGCTGGGCGGCGAAACGCGAAACGACGAGGGTCGAAGACATGGCGTACTGCCTGCTCGGCATCTTCGACATTCACCTGCCGCTCATCTACGGCGAGGGGTCCAAGGCGTTCCTCCGGCTGCAGGAGGAGATCATCAAGAACAGCGACGACCAGACCATCTTCTGCTGGACCTGGGAGGCTGACATGGTGCCACACGGCTGGCTGTCACTTCTGGCACCCTCGCCAGCCGTCTTCGACTCGGGAAAGTTTGTTCCCGCCCCAGGGAACCACAGTTCCGCGCCGTATCAGATTACCAACGTTGGACTGCGCATCAGGCTTCCCGTCGTTCTCGCCGTTCACACTGTCTGCGCAGTTTTGGACGTTGTCAGTACAGATGATACCGATCCCGACAAGCGAAGGCGCATGTGTCTGCCGCTTTTGGTCGAAAACAATGTCTACCGGCGAGTTGCTCTTCCCGGACGCGCTTTCCCGATCCACTCAGCCATGATCTCCGAGGTGCGAAATCTGTACATCCTCTGCAAGACGCCAAGGGATACCTCGGGCATCAGCATCCTACCGTACCGCCCGCGTTTCGAATACGGCTTCCACATCACAGTGAGGATCTCCGGGTTCGAGGGCAACGATCCACCCCTGAGCGTCGACTGTCTCGTCCCCCAGTACCCGCAGTCGCCCTTCTCCCACATTTCGACGCCCGTGTATAGCGTCGTGGGTTTCCGAGGCCCGCTCCAGAGCGATATCAACATCCTCGTCCTGCGCATCAGGTACAAGGATCAGAAGATACCCATCCTGCTGTCGGTGGGGATGCGCGGTGGGCTACCGACCTGGCACTGTGAGATCCTGCCATACAGCTTCCTTGCCTACAGCACGGAGCGGTGGCTGGTCGAGATTGACAAGATGCGGCAGCAGTCGCAGGGCCACAGCTTGTGGTACCACAGGGTGCGCAACGTGGGCGTTGCGCTGGACCGGGAGAATCTCGATGCGTCTGGTCGATACGTGCGCTATGTGTACGTTGTTATCGGCGATAGAGTGAGGTGGTCCAGGACGGGGAATACCATGGAGGATCCTGATCGCGTGTTTGATTCTCATAGTCGGGATCGCATATTTGACATGGTGGCCGAGATTGATGCTGAGACCTCGACTTGATGGGCACTTGGTTTGCTTGTCTTTCCTTGCCTTGTGTTTGAGGGATGTTGCAGCGACGGATGTTCAAGGCATTTACTCGTATACCCCAGGGTTTGATTTGCATTGTGTAGGTATATACTTCTTACATAGTGTAGGTATATACTCCTGATTTGAGGCTGCTAACGACTCTAGGCCCGGCTCATCTGTTGTTTCTTCAACAAATGCTCATGCGGATTTTGGCAAGATGTGTACTCGTATTTAAAAGTTCCTGTCCTGACTGCGTCGTGTCGGTGTTTACAAAATCCGTGGATAGAACATGGTGAACTGAAAGCGATGAGTGTAAAGGTCCTGCTGCTAGATCTCATCTGACTGCGAAGTTCTAAAATTCAGATTTAAAGATGTTCTCAACTCCAAGCAAACGAAATCGTAATTCTATAATTGACATCTTTCTGTAACCCATCACCCTCCAAACAGAATATCTTTGCTATGCAAACTAAATTCCTCTTGTTACGGATTATACCCGTAGCATAGTATGGGCATGTGGCCTATACCTCTATGAATGTAGCCCAGTTGAATTAACGACGTTGATTCAACACGTACTCTTTTAGCTCAATTGAACAGCTGCCGTATGGCACTTAAGACTGTGTGAGGGCTGTCACTAAGCCCCTTTGAGGCCGACCGTAACACCTCTTCAGACATTCTCGCCATGCAAACCCACCCTACTAACTAGGACGCCCTCCTATCTTGCACACCACTCTTAACGGACTGCCAAGAGATCGCTTAACCTTGATTCAACGTTGCCCTGTCTTATTCAGTGCGGGCTGAAGTCGCATGCCACGAGAACTGAATCGTAACATGGTACTATTCGAAAACACGATACTGCAAGTCATGCGCAGTGCCTTTTTGACGATATAGATTGGGGGCCTCCATCGAGTCGTCTGAGTGCCTGAAGTGATGCATGCTTGGTGGCCTCAAAATCAGTGCATACTTGGAGGCCTCGTATCCGTGCATACCAGGGACTACGGTGCGCATCACGTAGTGCGCATTCACTTCTCATCCATGTTGTCATATGTTTATCAGAGCTATAGTATAACTTTGACAGCGCCGCACAGTCGTTGTTCATGCGATGTCTACCAAGTGCATTTCGATCACGCTGCGTGGACAAAAACCTGAATGCACTATCAGGGGCTTTACCAGGTCAAGCCATAAAGCTGACTCTGCACACCGCGCCTCGACAGCTAGTTCGCTAAGACGCCAGCATCATTTCCTTCTCATCTGATAAGGAGCACGTAGGCGTCTCGTAAGAATTTATCAAGGCTTCGTCCCAGCGACACTCAATGACTAGTCCATTACATTCGATGAATACTAAGCGGTGTACCATCAACTGCGCTCCGAACGAACTGCTGGTGGAATCCAAGCCAGCAATGGCTGCGGAATGGCTGTCAGATGAGACACAGGGGGACACTATCGACACTATCAGGAAACTATATCAGCAGGAAGCACAAGCCCCAAGAGCCTACGCTCAAGCCGAAGCCAGAAAATCCTATAACAAGAAGCACCGCCTAATGAATTTTGATGTCGGTGATGGAGTATTCCTTAGATTGAATGAAGGATATCAGCTTCCCGGCAAGCCACCAAGGAAATGGAGGTAGCAACGGGTGAGACCCTTCACGATTCTGGAATAGAAGGGCTCCCTAGCATGTAAACTGAAATTCTCGGTGAAGTGGAGAGTACACGACGTGATATTTATCAAGCAGCTCGTTCACGCTGATCGTCCACCACTAAATCAGTAAAATCTAAGGATGATGGCGAGTAATATAAGGTCGATAGACTATTGTATGGACGTATAAGATAGCTGTCCGGGCGACGACGGCTATGATGTCCCGTGAAATGGAAAGACTGGGGACACGAGTTCAACGCATAGATATACTGGGCGCATATGCTATATACAGTAAACGACTTACTATACGAGTACGAGGCTAAACATCCAATAATGGACATTGAGATCCAGCAGGTAGTAGTAAATCTCCTGCCAACCATGAGCTATACAATCTTTCCGCCACTGGATAAGGACCCGAACTTGCAGCGACAGAGCGGAGAACCAACAAGTCACGAGATGCTCAACAACGACATTCGGCGCACTGTAGAGACAGTACGTAAGAACGCCTGGAGCGCTCAATAGCCGCGTTGAACAAGCCTGCGACTACCAGTCTACTGCCGATGAACGAGCTTCGCACGAAGATCGTCCCCCACATGGCGCCCTCCCGGGTTTCCCTTCCTTTACCCGCAAAGCTCTCAGGGTACGCAGGGAATACGCAGCTTTACGCAGAAGATGCGTGACAAGGTCGCGTTGGATGGGTATTGCTACGCCTACGAGAGAATTCTGTAGTACCTCATAAATAGCTTCCTAACCGACCTCCACAGCGAGCTTTCGCTACCTTCTTCGCGCAGGGTGGTCCCGACCGAAGGTACAACCCCGAGGACTTCGTGCAATATCTCGACCACATCTACTATGACCCTGACTGGGTGAGACTGCTGGGGAACAGGCACTGGCCTGTCTCATTCGTAAATGCAGCTCAATTGAATACCAATGTTGATTCAATGCGTATCCTTTAACTCCATTGGAGAGCCGCGCATAAGGGCACTTGCGACCATGTGAAGGCGGGCCGGCGTAATACCAAAACCACGCTGCAGGGTTTGTCAATCGTATTGATCAATCTGCTATGCTAACTTTCAACTGGAGGTCTTTCTCACAGCGTACAACGGCTGGCAATCCGGATCATTCGCGAATGGCAAAGTAGCCTTTTGAGTGCTGTTATCCTAGGTAGCAGCATCATTTTGCAGAATGGGAAACTCTCTCAATTTCAAACGAGGTGGACGCAATGGCACTGTACAGGAATCAAGATCAAATGCTGTGTTTCCCACAAATTGTGTGTATCATGGTGACCTAACATCGACGCCCAACATTCGTCACAGGCGACGCTGCTCTGTTCACAGTTTCTCTCCCCGTGATCCCCCTTAGATAGACTCTCCCGCAAGTTTCTTATCGTTCAGCTGTGGCTTTCCCTGCACTGCCACTTCCTCGTCATACGGCCGATGTCCATCGGCCCCCTTGTCGCTATAGCTGTCGGCATCGTAGGCGACACGAACCTCGTCCAGGTCATCGCCTCCAACCTCCATCCATGTTTTGCTTGTGGCAGGGATGGGGAAGAAGTGGCACAGCGCCCAGTACATAGAGAATGATATGATGAACCCTCCAAAGAAGTTCACCCTGTAAAGATAGGATGCTCCAATCGGGACAGTCGCGCCAATTGCACCGGCAAAGCCAACCACATTGATCAAAATGCCCGCGATGTATGCCGCATATGCCCGCCAGTGGACGCCGAAAGTGTAGTAGTACGGACTGCCCTTGCGAGCACTGAACAAGTCCTGAACTTGCAGATATCCGCGGCGTACGGCGTAGTAGTCGGAGCACATGACGCCGGCGATCGAACTGAGGAACACGCTGTAAGCTGAGAGGTAAGTCGTGAACTGGTTTGAGCTTGACTGAAGAGGCAGCAGTAATTAGCATTCTGTCTTTGATCAGCTGAGTCTTGACATACCAGTAGCTTCCATGGGCACATCGCGAGGCCAACCGCGGCACATACATAGCTAAGAGGACGCGTTAACAATTGCTTCCGGTGATAATAGCTAGTGTGAAGGTGATCTTTACCTTCCTCGGCGAATGTTGATATACCTGGGAAGCAGCGCAGTCATATCGGTGCCAGCAGAAATGCTATTGGCTGCAATGTTTGTCTATTCAAACAGCTTGTCAGCGACAGTTTGAGGCATGTTCGCGAGGGTACTCACGCCGAGTTGGGCCAAGGCGAATGCCAGGCCAAGCACGAAGACTCCAAATCTCTCGCCCGAGTTGCCTTCGTCGATGAATCTTTCGAGAACCTCGAGCGGATCCCACATGGGTGCGCCATAGATGGTAGCCGACGCCGAACTGACCAGGATGCCGATTAATGACGTGACGGCAAATCCGATGGGCTTTCGAGCTCTTAGTATGCATATCTCGGAAGATTGTCAGAATGTGAAAAGAGGGACTCACGATTGTGCACAGCTGCGACCAAAGTGCATCTCTGGGTTTGATAGCAAAGCGTGTAAAATCAGGATCATTGACGATGAGCTAGAGAGCATACTGATTAGCTCAAGATCTTCCGTGAGCTGAATAGTTTGCAGCCCATGAAATTTTTGGGTTTCAACATGAGCTCAGAGGCTCCAGAAGGATGAAGTCCGAATGACTCACTGTTGCGAAGTTGGCGATCGAAGACATGACTCCGGAAACAAATGCCCATGACCATTCGCTGCCCTTGGCTTGAGCGGGCTGTCTAATCATGGCTCCCGTATTACCAGCCTTTGCAATAGTCCAGCCCATGAAGGCAAAGCCTGCTACAGGGACAACATAGGACTTTACAGTGAAGAGATGGCGTAGTTTGTGTACCGGCACGTATAGGAACTTGTTACAGTCAGCACGGTGATTAAATCCTGCCTAGCTTTGACGAGCAAAAGTGGCAAGTACTCAGGGATGTGGCAAAAATGAAGACTTCTCAGCTTACAGGTAGTGAGATCAACCAGAAGAGGAAAAAGGAGACGAAATCTGCTGTTGTGGTGTCTGTGAACGCGTTGCTCGAAATTCGTTCACGATCCTGCTACAATCAGTTTCCTATTGCATTCACAGTTTTGATACGATAATTGGTCTTGATCTCTTACCCAGCTTTTCCAAATGGCTCTTATCATTACGTAGATGCATCGGCCTCCGATCCAGGACTGGACACCATACTAATGCAAATTAGCTACGAACTCGTGCGCGATGAACAAGTGCGAGGCGTCTTATGCTTACCCATACGCATGCTAAGAACATGACGAGTCAGCTATAATTCACCAACATAAAGCAGGATAGTGGTGCTGGCACGCAGATCCACGTCCTTCGGTCCTCAAGACTTACCCATGGCAGTTCTGTTAAAGATGATCTTGAAACAAAGCAAATCAGCAATTCAGATCAAAATTACGGGGAACTTTTGGTCAGATGCAAGGACTAGCAAATATTCCCAGTCACTTGTTTGTCAACGTGGTGTACTCACCCAAAGTGCTCCCCATATTCCGAAGGAACTTCGAGCAACCACGGGAAATCCGATATGGTACACCGCGCCTATACGGCCGATGAGAACAACGAAGATGCCGGCCACCAAATATCCGAGCCAGACACATGCCCAAGCTTGCCACCAGGAAAGCCCGGAGACTACCATCGAAGATCCGATCATCCAGCTGTTAATATTGAACGACTAGGCAGTGTCAGGGGTGCTTCAGACGTTGGTATGAGTGGCTGAAAAGTGGAACTAAGAGGCCAATGACCCCTGAAATCAAATGACCTTCAAGAAAGGTTATGGGAGCTGTAGGGAGTCTCGGGAGTTGATGAGAGCCATCAGAATCCAGCGGGATGCTGCAGCGTAGACCAAACCAGGGGCAACAAGACTTCATGAAAAGGTAGAGCACTTACGTCAGCAACCCAGAAGGCCACAAAGTTCCATGTTCCCCAAACTCTACGAGCTTTCTCGACGGGCTTCAGATCATGGTTGATGAGCTAGGGTCGATCAGTACCTGTCTGGAAGGGCACGGCGAGGTCGTGCGTCCTCACCATGAGCTGGGTATTAGACAAGCCCTCTTCCGTCTGGTCTACGGCCAGTTTGTTGGCCCAGTGCTTTGTCCTTGACCCATGCACACGCTCCCTGACTTGTGGGTTGGTGGCCTCCATTTTGGCCTCTGGGTTTGATTTCTTCGCAACCTCGACTTGCCACAGCGAAACAAGACAACTCAAGTATAAACAGTAAATGCTTGGTCAAATTGATTGAAGAGCCCTGTAGTTCTTGAATGTCCTTTGCTGGGCAGAAAAATTGCAGCGCTGACAATCGTGGTATGATGGTGGTCGCGGTGGAGCTTCGACGTCGTGTGCCAGAGCTATGACGAAATGCCTAGTCTCAGAACCGGACAGTAAGATCCGTAGGATGTTCACCGACGTTTGGTGGGACAGCCGTCGGTGCTGGCCTGTAGAATGCTTTCGACGTTGAGTAGCAAGAAACAGATTCCGTCGGGGAAGGTAGGGCAAGTTGCAAGTGAGACAGGTAGATACACAGAGATGGATATATATATCTCGGTAGCAAAGCTCACATGGCACATAGCGCAGAATCCAAGGTTTGATGGGAAATCGGCCGCCTCCCAGCAATCATTGCCTATCTAGCTCGTCATGGGGGATAGCTCTGGTGGACAAACTGATATCAGGCCCCCCACACGGCTTCAGGTCTCTCCAATGATCCCTGTCGCACGCGCCAAGATCGAGACACCAAAGCCTACATGTGCTGTTCCTGTTGCTCCTCCAGCCAGAACAGGCCAGAACGCGCCGGCGGCGAGGCCATTTGACACCACATGCCACGCGACGATGATGCATGGCCGCACATCGGCAAGCCCGCTGTACGCCACGCCAGCATGGAAAATGCAGATTCTCACGGCTGAAGGGAGCTAGCAGACTCAAGCTTCGGGGGCGGCGCCATTGGCTTCAACACTCTGCATCTTATCGCCGTTCTCGTCTCCGGCCGCACGGGCGGGTTCTTGCGCGGGGCTTCATTGGGCGGGCACACACAGCTTATCGTCGCAAGAGTGTCCCCGCCAGCGGGCTACCCATTACTCGATCTCATCGAGTCAAACTCTGCGATACGTCTGACGACATGGTACAGATTATGGTGACGCTCAGCCAATGATGCTGCCGTCGCATAGCTCCAAGGGATCAACCCCCCTGCAGTGTACCATGTACAACCCGCAAATGAAACTTGTCAGGCTCTCGATCAGGGTCGGGTCAAGGGTTCCTCCTCACCGTCCACAAAGGACTCGTACCACTTTACCCCAGAAGAAGGCTTGTTCTCGTGTCCCCTACTCTCCCTCTAACTCTAGTAGGGAATCATTCAGAGTTGGCCGCGTGCAGATAACGGAGTCCCAGCTGAGGCCTTAGCTTGGACCCTTGACAGCACCGGCACTTCACCAGTCTGCACCACCTTCGGAGCTCCCCCGCCCCCGGCGGTTTCGCTAATATCTCGATTGGGGACGAAGGCCATCCGTGGCTGCGGGGGTGGGAAAGTCCGCGAAGAAAGCCCGATGTCGCCGAGTGAGCAGGCTTCGAATCAGGGCCACACATCTCCAGGGTCGATTCCAATCCGCATCATGTTCTCGAAGGCCGCTGGCTGGCGCATGTGGTTGGGAGCAGGCCGCAACAGCAACATCCCGCCTTCCCCGACTCCTGACCAGCCGCGGTGCTGCTCTCATCGCTTCGAGTTTGTTGATGCTTCAGATTCTCGAGGCATCAAGGGCCCGTCGTGAATTTCACCGAGAGCGCGCTAGGAGCACAAGAAGTCTAGTGTATATTCAATCTGCGGGCGAACGTGACCCGCTTATCGTGTTCTCGTTTGACTCGATGAGATCGAGTAACAGACAACACGCGGGTTGGCTCGTGTTCATACGGTGTTCTGCATCTCCGAGATGGGCTATACGACTGTTCAATGCCATGTCGCAAAACTTGAGGAACGCTACTCATGGCCTGCATGAGATTCGTCTCCGCACGACCCCATGTCGGGGTTCAATTGTTTGTCCAGCAGGGGGCCCCGACTACTCGCAGTCCGAGCATGTGGGAAATGATTTGGTTGCAGATAGGCACGCATGGTGCATGACAAGGGCTGCCCTCACATCCACATCTTTGTGTTACCCGAGTATGTAGCCAACCTTTTCTGCCTTTTACGCTCAATCGTCACATCCACAATGCGACCTTCATCCTTCAAAGCCTTATAAACACGACGCAGGGCGCCAGCCCTGGTGTAAATCATGTTTCCCTCAGCGTCATGAGTCTTGACCACTGCGTCCAGACCTCCCTTCTTCGATAAACCTACGGCCTTCAGCTCGCCGACAATCACCAGACCGCAACGCTGACGTGTGAACATGACTTTTAAGCGGTTTCCGTTGGACGTGAACAGAGGTCCAGCGAACTCGCTGGTGCCCATGGCGACAATCACAATATCGTTTTCACGCCCCTGGTAGCCGTCAATGGTAGAGGATTCGGGCACATTGATGAGTGAGGCGGTATACTCGGGCCGCTTCTTGCGCATATGTCCGATGGCTTCACAATGGGCGGCGGATGGACTCAGCACGACAATATCCTCGGCCTTTTCGTGGGTGGTCTTGGTCAAATCTGCGGCAAAGTCCAAGGTTAGTTTGACTTGGTCGAGACACTTCCTGGACCCAGAGCGCGGGTCGGTGAAGACGCGAGACCCAGGGCAGTTGATGAAGATCAGGCTGAGCGCGCCCTCTGGAGGTGCCGAGAGCTTTGGAAACTTTTCCTGGATGAATTTCTCCAGAAGACGACTAGAACTGAACTCCGGGAGGCTGATGTCGCAGCCGGCTCCGTACGTCATGATGATGATGATGATGAAAAGGTCTATTTGAAGGCCTTGAAAACTTGAAAACCCCTAGGGGAAACTGGGCGTCTAAGCGTACACGATGAAGATCTGCTCAATGTGCTGGGGCTGATAGCTTTGAATAGACTATCACTGCCATAAACGATTGCCACGTTGTATTGACTCTCAGAATCTCTCAACGGGCCATCTCATACGAGGTATGGCAGCGTGGAATCATACATTCTTCATCTGAATGTTGTGACTCCTCAAACATCACATGATGCCGTACCCGAGATCCGTGATCTCGTCCCGGCAGCAAAGCGCCTTCCTCCCGAGAACCGCTCATTCCATGCTGTTTGCGGAGCAGACTCGATCAGCAAGCAAGGCGAGATGGAAACCATAAGAAAAAGACGACGAGTGCGTTATGCGACGTTCGAGGCGTGATCAATCTGCCGTCTGAACTAACGCCAAGAGAGAGAGGTTGCCAGCGGTCGGTATTCCTGGGCGCCGAGAGGCATGAAAGGGTGCTCGCGTTCGCTTTTCTCGGGACTCTGGATGCAACACATGCGATGGGCAGCCGTTGCTCCGAGAGGGGATACACTGCAAGTTCTGGACGACCTGCTTGAAGACAAGCTTGGCGTGCCACTCTCGAGGGAAGTTGGGATGGGCAAAGACGCACACGTGAAAAGGGGACGAGGCAGTCTGTGGATCGAGGAGGGCTTCGGAGTGGAACGAGCTAGACCTGTTGTGGGTGTGCAGAGAGATGGACAAACTCGTATCGTCGTCGAGGGATGAGAGAACGGATGAATTCCAGACGAAGCAACTGTTTGAGGCGACCTCAAAAGCGACCTCAAAAGCAAAACCTGACGTTCAGGTGGGTGGATCGAGAGCCTGAAGTGGGAAAGGGGGAAGCTGCATAAGGTTAGGTGGAGGAGCACAGAGCGCGCCGGGAAGGGGCTGTCTACGGGATGCACTTTCCTCAACCAACAGGGGCCCTGAACGTCCTAATTGGAACTCCCTCGACCCAACCTCCATGGCGAGATTCCGACACTTTTTCAGATTCATAGAGACGAACAGGCTTTGGCGAAATCCACCCAACTCGTGTACAGAGCGAGTGATGCCTTCGGCACGAATGGCAGATGGACGCGGTGACTCGGCTGTCTGATCCCGCCCTGGCTTGACGATGACGACTTGGCCGCTTCGTGCCGCCCGACACCAGACTCGAGGCGCGAGGGCTACCGGCGAACAAACAACACAGCTTTTTGCGCTGCGGATCCATGCCCGACCTCATCGGACCCGTCCGGCGCTCTGTCGTCGCCATGTCCTGGCTTTCCTTGCTTTGTCGATGGGGCAAGCGGAGAGCCATGAGCTTTGACTCCCAGCCTAGCCATCGTTTCAGAAGCCCCAATGATGCCGCTGTGCATTCCTATGACCGCCAGATGACCAACGGCTCCAGAGCATCGAGAAGCTCGTCCGGCATCAATGGCGACGGCGCTGCCAACGGTAATACTGCTGTCTGGCCTAGAGGATGAAATGTCCCCAGTCATGCTCAATATTCGGCTAGGAACCTATCCATAAAACGACCATATTACCACTTTACCATGATTGGATGATGTATACATCGCTCTTCTCTCGAGGTCAAGAGGATGAGCCACTACCGCGGCAAGCCCCCGGATTTGCAGCACATCCGCAAGATCTACGAAACTGCACATCGCTCTACTGGACCCTTGCAACCGGGGCTGCCTCAAAACATGGCGCACTGGTCCAATCGCAACCTCGAGTTCCTCGACAACCCCTACCCGGGGGCCAAGCCCCATCGTGAAACCAACCCGTAAGCGCACAGCCGGACTTCATGCATCGTCAAAGACCCCTGCCGACGCCGACATCACCGCCAGAACTAGGCGCTGTGGTCAGCCCTTCCCGGTCAACCTATGCGTGTCCTTCTCCACATGGAGAATGCGATTCGTAGGTCCTCCGCGAGGCTCAGCCCTCTCTCCGACAAGACCTCAACCATGCAACGACACACAACACCTGTCTGTGGGCGAGCGAAGCTGACGCTAGCCTGTCACTCAATGACACGAAGCCAGGGGCCTTCGCGCCTAGACACGAATTCCCGGTCGGGAACAAACGGCATGCCTCACGGACCTCACCTCAGGCCTCGTCGTGGAGCGCGCGCCGCCACCCAGCAGCACAGAAGCACAGAAGCACAGAAGCACAGAAGCACAGAAGCAACAAGGAACAGACGGCAAGCGCACAACCCCTGGAAAGATCTGATTCCGAGATGCAAACCGCAGTACCAAGTTGCGCGCACCATCTCATGTTTTTGCTCAAGCCTAGGGGATTTGTCAAGTCTGGTGCCAGGTCCTCGATGCAAACTCATCCAAGTTGTATAAAGCATCTTGCCCCGAGCCTCCCTCAACGCCCTTCTCTCCTCTCTCCATCCTCACGCACGATAATCAAGCAGTCTTTCCTACGCTCTTCCTTGTATCTTCCATTCTTCGCCCTGGTGGCTTTTTGAGAACATTCACTTTACTGTATCATTTCCACCCTTCTGTCCCCCCTCCATCACCCAGTTCGGAACCCTCTACATACCTTCAGAATGCGTTCCCAGACGTTCCTCATCGCCGCTCTGGCCGTCACTGCCAATGCCCACGGCATGGTAAAGTCCATCGAGGGAGCCAACGGTGTCAGCATGCCTGGCCTGTCAGTTGCGGACGGCACGCCTCGTGACTGCTCATCCAACGGCTGCGGCTCTCAGGCCGATACGGCCATCATCAGGGACCGCGAGATCAGCTCCGGCGAGGTCGGTCCCCTTGGCCGTACTCAGGGCAATGGTCCCATCAAGGCCGAGACCATGATTGCCAACTTCATGGGTGGCGGCACCGCCCCCAAGAACAACGGCGCGGCCTCTTCCGTCGGCCAGGAAGACAACATCCCCCAGAACCAGCAGGGCGCACGTGGTGGCAGGAACAACAACAACAAGCGTGAGAAGAACTGGGTCAGCCGTCAGCTTGGCGGTCTCTTCGGTGGCGGTGGCAACGCCGTGGATGGTCCCCCTGAGACCATGGTCGCTGCCTCTGCCGGCCAGGGTGCCTCTGCCGGTCTTCCTACGGCGTCCGACAGCGGTGCTGTCACCATGACCTTCCGCCAGATCAACCAGGACGGTGCTGGTCCACTGACGGCTGATATTGACGGCACCTCTGGCGGCACTGACGCCGCCGCTTTCCAGTCTGCCGAGGTCAGCACCGACGTTCCCGGCCTGCCCTTTGGCAACCAGGGCCTGTCTCTGGCCACCAACTCTGAGTTCCCGCTCGTCGTTCAGATGCCCGCTGGCATGACCTGCGATGCCTCCGTCGGCGGCGCTGACAATGTCTGTGTCGTCCGTGTCCGCAACGGCGCCGCTGCTGGTCCCTTTGGTGGCTCCGCTGCCTTCACACAGAGTGCCGCCGGCCGCAAGCGTGCCATTGCGTACCGCCTCAAGAAGCGTATGGAGTTCCGGGCTTAAGCGCCTCCTTCACCATTGACAAATCACGGAGGGTTCCCGGTTTGGACCAACTTTCCAATGAAGGTCTCGAAAGGACGTTGCGGCGATTACGAGCCGTCAGAGACGCTCAACTGTTGCCACGTGAGGGGTTGTTTGGATCGGATCCTGGTATTCAGCTAGGGAAACAGGCTGTTCATTGTGGATTATAGTACACTTTTTTTTTCTTTTTTTTTTTTTTGGTAGACGGGACAGGATTCCTTGGGCTAATTGACGCCACCTTGCATTTTTACTTACCACCCTGTACATTGCAGTGACTCTTGTGTTGATGTAGGCTCTGAAAACATTCGGTGGTCAGCGCGCGGCGGTCGCCAGCCCCGTTGCGATTTGCTCGTCAAATGGCGGCTCGCCAAACAAAACTAACGCCAGGAGGCTCTGTCTCGGGAGACCCGAGGCTGTGCGCTGGAAGCAGGTGGGGGTCGCACGCGCAGTCTGAGACGGGGCGCGTGTCGAAGAACAGCAGAAAACAAAACACCACGCCGCACGAGGCGTACAGGGCGCACGGCCTCTATTGGTTTTCCGGCCCTGAGGGCGGTGTGGTGCAGTCGACCTGTAGAAGACGGGCGAGCTGGACGTGCTGATAGAGAAAAGCTCCCGCGCCATGACCGCAGGATTCCTTTCATCAACGGTCTTGTGAGCAAGAAGGTTATTGTAGTGGAGCATCAGCCAAGGACACGCAGGAATGGCACCAGGCAATCAACATGGAAAATGCATCGTGTTGGAAATGATGGAAACGCCAGACTACCATGCCACCCGAGAACAGCACTCCAACCGAAAAAGAAAAGACAAGCACCGAAGAAAACAACACCGCAGCAGCTGCCATAGTCCCGTTGATCTGTAACGCCGGGCCCGCGATTCGTCTCCATCCTTTATCCAACTAAGTGGTGGAAACTATTTTGTACAATCGTGATTCGTAAGTTTTCAAAGTGCTGGGAAGCAGTGGGCGTTCGCTTGCGTTCAAGGGACGCAGAACATGGTCATCGCATGCCTGAGACGTGACACTTGGGCAAGATGCAGTCAAACCCGTGGCCACGAGAAAGCCAACTCTTTCTCCTCCCGAAAGCGTACCCCGCTCGCTGCATGTTGCAAGTCCAAGAAAAAATGCTTCGCAGAGAGTCTACCAGCGGCGGCTGTGGCATGTTAGCGGCAGAAGACGTAGGCAGCGTTCGTTGACCAACCTGTAGACATTATCAACCTTTGGCACCGTCCGCTTCTTGATGCGATTCATGTTCCTCTTTCGAATGTCATCTCGCTCCTTCTCCTCCTTTGCCTTGGAAGGCAGACCTAGGAGCTCTGCACCAACAGAAGAGAGGTCGGATTCGTGGGTGCCGCTGGAAACGAACGAGGCGCGCGACATGGACCGGCGTTGACGCGCTTCGCCCACCTGACTGGCAAAGCTGGACCGCCTGCTAGATGTTCGGCTCTGGGGCGGTGGCGTGCCGGCATCGGCCGGAAGAGGCGAAAATGGGCGACCGCTGTCGCGGTGGTAGGAGTCTCTCGAACGACTGCGACGACCTTCAATATCACCGGCGGAATCGTCTCGGAAGGAGCGCTCGCGCCTGTCACGGCCACGAGGGCTCTGCTCGAATGGCCTCTCCCAGCTTCTATGTGGTGAGCGCGTCGGTCGATCATGGTCGTTGGATGACGATGGCCTTGGCTTAAGGCCTTGGTCAGTTTCCGGACGAGAAGTAGATCGATTGGAGTCGAGAAAATCGCCGTGGTCGAACCGTGGTCTCTTTTGATGACTCTCGCGACGCAGAGTCTCTTTATCCTGTCGCCGGCCGCCCTCGTCTTGCCGCCGGGTGTCGTCGTGAGGTCGCTTCCGGTTGCTGTTTCTCTCTTCTGCGGCTTTGAGAATGGCAGGACTGGGGCCCGCAAGAATCTCAGCAGGGGTCTTCCACTTGCGGAGGGGCGTTGCTGGGGGCGGCGGACTAGCTGCCTTTGCCAAGACACCTGGCTGTTTTGGGGACAGTCGAGCCTCACGCTGCGGCTTGGATGGCTGCCCCTTGGACCGAAAGTCAGGATCGTCCCGCATCGAATCAAATTGTGGAATTTCTCGGACGGGCCTCAGGTCATCGTTAGTATAAACATCGTCACAAAGCTTGGCTTAAACGTACATGGCACCTTGCGCCTGTGAGGGCTTTGCAAGTTGATCGAACTCTGCAGGGCGCGGCAGCGGCCTGCGAAGATCGTCAGAAACGCGCGGCTCGGGCGGCTCGCGAAAGCCTGCCGCATGATTCTGATCCCAATCACGTTCATTCTCGACACCATGTTCGCGAAAGGCGCTGACCGGGCGAGCGTAAGGCGAGCCTTTGATGGAGGGTCGTTCGGTAGGGTTTGACGGTTGCGAACTTGGGTCACGTTCACGGGGCATTTGCTTCTCATGCTTTTGCCTGTCCCTATCCCTCCGATCATCGGCGTGGTGCTGATTCTTCCTGTTTCTCCCCCGACCATGGCGATCCTTGTCGCGAAAACGTTGATTTCTGGGTGGTTGAGCAGTAGAATCTTGGGATCTACGACCGGACTGCCCGTATGGCGGGGGAGGGGAATGGTTCGCGAATCCTGAAGAAGACGGGGCTGGAGGAATAGGAGGCAATGATGGCGGTGGATGGTGGAAGCCAGGACCAGACGGGGGTCGGTCATATGGAGGGGCCGGCCGATCATACCCTGTGGGGGGCCGGTCATAGCCGTCAGGAGGGCGGTCGTAGCCATCAGAAGGGCGGTCGTATGTATTCGGTGGCGGACGATAGGGGTCCCCATAGTTCCCTGGTGGTTGGTAGGGTTGTGAAGGGTAGGATGGCGCGGAACCGTAGGGCCCATAATGCGCAGGAGGTGCGTGCGGTCCCAGAGGTGGCGGGGGACCAGGAGAACCGGATGCACCGTAATAGCCAGGTAGGCCAGCAGGGCCAGGCGGAGGCGGCGGTCCCCCGTACTGATGTGGTGGAGGTGGCGGCGGATAGAACCCCGGATATGGTGCCGGTGGACCGTGATGTGCTACCGGAGGAGGAGGCGGCGGCGCACCATAGGGGCCAGGTTGGGTCTAGTGGGGGAACATTCGCAGGGGGGCTTTGGGTTAGGAAGG